AAAAAAAAAAAAAAAAAAAAAAAAAAAAATTTGTTTTTTTCTCATCATCTTCTTTTAACACCCCCCGCCAATCCCTTGCGGGGTAGAGTCTGGACAACTGAATGAAGCCGGCGGAGTGTTTACTGGCCGGATGCCCTTCTTGTCGCCAATGCGGAGTTTTGTTCGGCAGATATATTCTCATTGTGCCCAGAGAGAGAAATAGCTGCCTTGGCCCATCACCACCACCACAGACCACCACACATGTGTGCATGGCCCCCGCACATGCACGTGTGACACCCCTCCCCCCGACATGCCATTTTAGCCCTAGTAGGCACTGAAGCCTCCTGGGACCAAAAGCCGGCCGCAGGGTGGTGGTGGAGGAGGCTGCACCCCCCACATGCCCCGTTTTGGGCCTAGCAGACCTCCCTGCAGCCTCCTGGGGCCAAAAATGAGCCATGGAGAGGGAGGGCGCCACACCGCCCCCCATGCCCTGTTTTGGGCCTAGCAGGCCTCCCTGCAGCTTCCTGGGGCCAAAAATGAGCCATGGGGAGGGAGGGCGCCACACCGCCATGCCCTGTTTTGGGCCTAGCAGGCCTCCCTGCAGCCTCCTGGGGCCAAAAATGAGCCATGGGGAGGGAGGGCGCCACACCGCTCTCTGTGCCCTGTTTTGGGCCTAGCAGCCTCCTGGGCCCAAAAATGAGCCGTGGGGGTGCACGCCACACACCCCTGCGCTCTCTACACACCTCTGTGCATGCACACCGCCCCCCTATGCATGCGTGGCAGAGACCCAAAAATCAGCTGGCCGGTGGGAGGCGTGCACGCACGTGCGGTGGGCTGGGGCGACGGCTCTGCATGCCATAGGTTCACCAACATGGCTCTTAAGGGCATGTGGCTATGGAATTCTGGGCGTGGGAAGTCCATGCATCTTAAAATTTCCAAGGCTGAGAAATGTTGCTCCAGGGACAGTATTCCGTGACTAGCCATTCTGAATTAGAAAGAATGAATGCCAATTGGTCGAAGTTCTCTACCCTCGACTGTCGGTTCATTTCAATTATTTATAGTCTCTGGGAGTTCCCCAGCTCACCTCCGTAGCCACACAAAGTGCCTCTGAGATCTCCAGACAATATGGGTAGGTGGGCTTCCAAGAAATATAAAAGCTGGAAGTCCAACAGACCGACCTTCGGGAAATTCGGCTACTCAAGAATTTTAATAAGTGGACTTCAGAAAATCATATTCAGATTTTTTTTTTTTTTTTTTTTTTTTTTTTTTTTTTTACCAGCAAGGAGTTGTAGGCCTTTGTTCACGACTAATCTGAGAAGGTCCGTCCTGGGTGAGGCTACCGCAAACTCCACTTTCCCTGTCTCGATGTGGAGACCGTCTGAGAGTGAAAATTGGAACTCGTCCCTTTCGGCTACCAAACTGTTCAATTTGTAAACGATACGTTCCTCCAGGATCTCCTGGTAGGTGAAAGTAGATCCCTCCGAGAGAGCGTGTCCATTCTCCAGAGAATGCAGAGGAGATTCCCTTCTATACAGGTATCCTGAGAGAAAGTCAAGAATTATGAGTTAGTTCCTCACCACTCATTTTTCTCTCCAATGCATGAATACCTTAATTCGACTCCTAACATACTTATTCTTCACAGCATCTTTTACGAGGGTTTAGAACCCTTTACCACAGAATCATTTACAACGGAAAAAGGGACCTGGTGGCTCAGTGGCTAAGACGCTGAGCTTGTTAATCAGAAAAGCCGGCAGTTCGAATCCTGAGCGCTGCGTAACGGAGTGAGCTCCCGTTACTCGTCCCAGCTTCTGCCAACCTAGCAGTTCGAAAGCACGTAAAAAAATGCAAGTAGAAAAATAGGAACCACCTTTGGTGGGAAGGTAACAGCATTTCCTGTGCCTTTGACATTTAGTCATGCCGCCACATGACCACGGAGACGTCTACGGACAGCGCTGGCTCTTTGGCTTTGAAACGGAGATGAGCACTGCCCCCTAAAGTCAGAAACAACTAGCATACATGTGCGAGGGGAACCTTTACCTTTACCACACAATAAGGAGAGTGGCAATACAAGAATGCACAACTACAAGTAGTCCTCGACTTACAACAGCTCATTTAGTGTCCGTTCAAACTTACAACGGCACTGGAAAAAAGTGACTTATGAGCGTCTCTCACACATGACCATTGCAGCATCCCCGCAATCAAAATTTATCAAAATTCAGATGCTTGGCAACTCATTCATATTCATGTCGGTTGCAGTGTCCCAAGGTTATGGGATCCCCTTTCTTTGTGATCTTCGGACAATCAAAGTCAATGGGGATGCCAGTTTCACAAAAAGCAATGTTACGAGCTCTGGTGGCGCGGTGGTTAGAGTGCAGTACTGCAGGCTACGTCTGCTGCCTGCCATTTGGCAGTTCGAATCTCACCAGGCTCAAGGTTGACTCAGCTTTCCACCCTTGCGAGGTGGGTAAAACGAGGACCCAGATTGTTGGGGGCGAGAGGCTGACTCTGCAAGCCGCTTAGAGAGGGTGTCAGTGTTCCAAATATCATGCAGAATTAAATCAGAGTCCAAGGCAGAGCTATCCTTAAAGTTCCAATTTA